AACAGTTATAAACAAAAAAAAAAATTTACACAATAAATATTGTTATTTTTTCTTACACTATTATTAAGCTCTCATTTTTCTTTTCTTGTTGTTCTTCCTTCTACCCTTCCCAGACAGGCAGTATCACCGTATTTGTTCTGCACCTACTTGGATTATTTTCTGGATTCGTCTCTGCCTTCATTGATGACAATACCAATAGCTTACATTAACTGAAAAGAAAAAATTAAGATGCACATTTCACTACCTTATACATAAAAAAAAAAAAAACAGTTATAAACAAAAAAAAAAATTTACACAATAAATATTGTTATTTTTTCTTACACTATCATTAAGGTTTCATTTTTCTTTTCTTGTTGTTCTTCCTTCTACCCTTCCCAAACAGGCAGTATCACCTTTTTTACCAACCTTGGTATTCTTTTTTTGTTGCTTTTGATTTTTGTGTAGCATTTGAACTCTTTTTACCTGTTTTCTTGACCTGCCATTAAATAAAATTAATATGTCAAAGTTACATTGCATAAATAAAGTGTAACATTGCACAAATAAAATGCAATAGCAAAGTTGCCTTGGTTTGACTAGGGTTTGCTTCTTCTTTGTCTTTGTATGGACATCCAACTTTGTTGTGCTCTTGTTCACCACACTCTACAACTGTACACAGATCCATACTTTGACAACTTGGTCAATTTCCCCTCCTTAATTTTCTTAGACTCATCCTTTCTTTTCTTCTATTCCTTTTAGGGCGCCTTGACGTTGATCTCATCTCGAGTGGCAAACATCCTTCTTTTGGCCTCCTCCTCAACACTTCATTCCCTTTGAGGCATTTTAGTGTCGTCTCATAAGTTTGAAGGTGCTTTTCCTTTTTGTAGTACTCAAAACTCCAATCTTTGAATCTGAATGTACAAACATGTGGGCAAAGAATTCCAATGAGGTTCCATTCTCTATATGAGCAATTTCTTTCCTCGACATTGACCACGTGTATACTATGTGCCCATCAAACACATTAAAGTCATTGTCACCATTCCACCAAACATTGCATTGAATTGATAGGTTATTATCATCATTAATTTTCTTCAAAACTCTAGGTACAATATTAGTTGCCTATGTATCAACAAACAACTTTTTGTTTTTAAATCTTTTTATGAGTTGGTTAATTAAAGTCATAAACATTGAAAAAATAGGCTTGCATCCTACACACAAAATCCATGCATTAAAAGTCTCACATATATTATTATCAACCATATCAAACTTATAATACTCATCAAAAAAAGCTTTGCACCATAAATTACCAAGCAGTTCATTCAGTTCAGCATAAGCTTCCTCAGACAATGCCCTCAAAGCATCCATTTTGTCGAACTCATTGGTTGCCCTACATGCCAACCAAAATGCAAAGCTTGGTGTTATCATCTCTATTTCGACTTGCAAGATTGCAGTAGAGATGCCTTACACAATAGCTATGCACTATCAATGGTAATACCTTTACCTTTGCATTAATAATGCCCTACACCATAAAAAAATGAAATTAATTATTAAAATAAACACATATTCGTAATCATAAGAAATTAATAATAATTGTAATAAATACTTATTGGATGTCTATTAAAAATCATAGTGTAACCCTGTCCATCCCGTAACTCTAAATCATATGCAAGCTTTTCCATGAACCATTACCAAGAATCATTATTTTCTGACTCAAAACAACCCATGTAATTGGATACATTTGGTTATTTCTATCTCTACTAACAACAGATAACGGTATACCCTTGCATATTCCCTTAAGAAAACAACCATCATCCCCAAAAATTGGTCTGCATCCTTTTTTCAATCATCACTAACTGCTTTCAAACACACATACAT